GGCGGGGGGCGCACTGGAAATGTGCAGGGCAGCCCCCCCGCATGTGCCACAGACCTGGGGCATGGCCGCCATGCGCCTGCCTCCTCCTCTAGCAGCCCCAGACTTAGGGGGAGACACTGCGCCTTATTTTCCAGCGGGCAGCGCGGATTTGGGGAGCCCCTGGAGACAGCACCCTCGGCTCCCCGGCCTGGCTGCTGTGGAAGGCGCTTTGGGGGGTTCCTGCCAGCTGGGGGTGGGTGCCGGCGGCGGCCGCTCCTCGGCGAGGGCCCAGAGGGCACTGGGCGGGGGTCCCGGGGGAGAGGCGTCCCTTGCTTCCCCCTCCCCCGCGGGCCGGTGTTCCTGGTGTCTGGGCCTGCCTCCCGCGTCTGGTGACGCCTCATTGGGCCGCCTCTTGGTCCCTCCCCCGGGCTGTGCGGATACTTGGGATGCCACTAGTTTGGGAAGTTGGAATTAAGAGCTGATCCCACTTGGGCTGGACCAGGAGGCCTAAGGCCCTAGGGCTGGGAGGGCACCCCTAGAGACTTGCGGGGAGTGGGAGGGGGACCCGTGGGGCGCGCCTTCCTCACCCCGGACGCTTGCAGGAAAAAGCCCGAGGGAGAGAGGGCTAGGCGAGCGGGAGAGAGAGACACGCTGTACCTGCGAGCTGCTGTCGCCCGGGCCCAATTAGCGTGGGGCGCCCGGCGTTATTTTTACATTGTAGGTTTATTTTTTTGGAAGCGAGTGCCCTCCCGCCGCCTGTCGCGCGCTCCGGCTCTCCGAGGGTCTGGTGCAGGCAGCGGAGGCGGATCTGTTCTGTCGGCTCAGCCTCCTCCCTTCCTCCCCCTCCTCCTCCCCCCCTGTTGGTGAGAACTGGTTTTATTATGATTATTTTTTTTTCCCTTTTGCAGATTTGGAGGAAGGATGTGTGAGGGAGTCTGGGAGGAGGGAAGGGGAGAGGATGCCTGTGCGCTGGATGGGGGAGTTCTGGGCACATTGGGTTGTTATCGGTGGCCTTGACTTTGCCCTTTTTAAACCAGATCTGGGTCCCCGCGGCTGCTTTGATAGAAGGGGCTCTCGGGCGGGAGTGAGCTGGGCGGGCGTCCCAGGGCATTGTTGTGCACGTCGTCGTGGGTGGCCTTTTATTTTGATTGGGGGGGTGGGGGGAGCCATCTGAGAAAGGAAGAGGTGTGAGCTGGAATAGCTGAGCCCTTCACAGCCGACCCTGCAACTCAACTCCTGGGGTTGGAATCATACTTTTGCCACTTTACTGGCAGTGTGACCCTGGACAAATTACTTAACCTTTCTGTGCCTCAGACTTCTCATCCGCAAAGTGGGATAATAATAGTACCGAATCAGTGGATTGCTGTGAGAACTGAGGGTGGTAATACTTAGAAGGTGTTGGTGTAGGTGTTACTATAACCACTGTTACTGTTGTTATTCTTCTTATTCCTAGATTCTAAAACTTGGCCTTTAATCCAATGGCCAGGAAATCTTGTGAGAAAGGGCTGCCTTGCCTTTTGCCTGGGGATCTGGTGAAGGGAGGGGGCCTACTTTTCACTCCTCTTTGCTTTTCTCGCTGAGGATGGAGAAGGGCAGGTCGTGCCTTCCGCCCATTGAACAGATGCCCAGACGGAGGCCGGCTGTAGGGTGCGCCCTGGGCCCGGGGCGGCGGTGAGCGGAGAATCCGCGGCAGTGACCGCGGCTGCGAGGAC